GAGCAGAGAGCCTGATGCGGGGCTCGATCCCAGGACCCTGGGATCATGACCTGAGCCGAAAGCAGAGGCTTTAACCCACTGAGCCACCCAGGTGCCCCGCATATATTTTTAAATTAATGTCGTAAGCATGACATTAGCAATTCTTAAATATAAAAGTAGTGGGCTTTTAGTAGCCATTCTTTTGGGAGGATTGATTTTTACATTTTGAGTTTACATTTTGAGTTCTCTAGTTTCTATCATCAGATGGGCATTATTAACAACTCTGTAAAACATTGAATAGATATTCTATGGTTTCCTTAATCTTTCATCTGTTGCTTTCATCTGTTAATCTTTCATCTGTTTCTGCTTTTCAGTATCGCAAGTAACAATGACTACCTTTGGGCTCAGTATTGTTTTCATGATCTCTTAGGTTAGGTTAGAAGGTAGGAATATTTAAGGCAGTGGTTCTCAATTGGGGCAATTTTCCAGAAGACCTTTGGCAATTGTTGGAGACATTCTGGGCTGTCAAAATGGGGGGGAGAGGAGGAGAGATATTACTGGTATCTAGTGGACAGATGTCAAGAATGCTGTCAAGCTTCCTACCCTGCACTGAAAACAGCCTTCCCCACCACAAAGAATTACCTCGCCCAAAATGTCAATAGCAGTGATATGGAGAAACCCTAATCTAAATTCTCAAGTATCACCTTCTTTTAATTCTTTGCCATTGTGGATGGGAAGCAGCATCATTCGTTGATTAAGGACATGGGTTTTGGTGTCCAACAAATTAGGAACTAGGTAGTAACCTATTCCTAAGACAAATCATTTGGCTTTGATTTTTCTTTTTAAAGCAAGATGAGACCCAACCTCACGTGGTTTCTTTCTTTCTTTCTTTCTTTTTTAGGTTTTATTTATTTATTTATTTGGAGAGAGAGAAAACAAGCAGACAGAGTGGAGGGCAGAGGCAGAGAGCTCCCCGCTAAGCAAAGAGCTCAATGTGGGGCTCGATCCCAGGACCCTGGGACCATGACCTGAGCCAAAGGCAGCAGCTTAACCGACTGAGCCACCCAGGCGCCCCCCCTCACATAGTTTCTAAAACCAACACAACATTACTACTTTAATTTTGCCAAGCTGATAAATTAAAAAGTGGCTTTGATTTTATTTTAAAATGGAGGTTGAACATCTTAAGTGCTGCTTGTATTTTCTTTCTCTGTGAGCTATCGCTCCTTATCTCTTGCCCCTTTTTTCTGTTAGGTTCTATTGGTCTTAATGACCTTTCAGGATTCTCACTCTATTAAGGAAATCAGTCCTTAATCCATGAAATATATCTTACCCAGTTTAGGTTTTGACTCTGTATATGGTCTTCAGCGTAAATTTTATTTTAGGTAGAATTTACCATTATTTTTGTATGGCTTTTAGGGATTTGTTGTGGTGTGTTCATCGCCATTCCAAGATTATAAGAATGTTTCCATGCTTTTGTCTAGTACTTATGGTTTTACTTTTTTGTGTCTAGACTTTGGATCCACCTAGAGTTTATGTTACTGTAAGGTATGAAGCAGTGATCTGATTAGCCAGTATTCCAATACCATTTAAATCTGGGTTTTTTTCCTAGGCTGTTATGGAGAGCCACCATTTTTTTTTTTAAGATTTTATTTATTTATTTGACAGAGAGAGATCACAAGCAGGCAGAGAGGCAGGCAGAGAGAGAGGAGGAAGCAGGCTCCCTGCCGAGCAGAAAGCCTGATGCGGGGCTCCATCCCAGGACTCTGAGATCATGACCTGAGCCGAAGGCAGCAGCTTAACCCACTGAGCCACCCAGGCGCCCCCACCATTTTTTTTTTAAGATTTTATTTATTTATTTCACAGAGATGACAAGTAGGCAGAGAGGCAGGCAGAGAAAGA